GCCTGGGAGGAGTTAGGCGACCAGTTGAAGCAGACAGGTTGATGGATTAATGGGTTCACTTTCTGCAGTCCTGACCTCAGCTCCACTGTCAGAGAAGGGAGTAACGGTGGTGGCACTCTCCACCTGAGAGCAGTGCTGTGGTTTTTTTAGTCCAATTTGAGCATGCTATGGATGAACTTATTGGCACTGTTACTGTAACAGCTGAACTTGGACATGCTCTTGAATTAGGTTTCTGAGCTTCTTCCTTGAGTTGGCTTGTCCTCTTATACCAGCTGTAATAGATAGCTCAGCTTGAAAAACAAAGAGGAAGGAAGGAAGGAAGGAAGGAAGGAAGGAAGGAAGGAAGGAAGGAAGAAGGGAAAAAGGGAGGGAGGGAGGAAAGGAAGGAGGGAACCAAATCAAATCAAACCAGTGTCACCAGCCCCATAGCCAGGCCTAGTGCGCATGATCCCTGGGTTGTGAAGCATTTCTGCCACAGGCTTCAGCTGCCTCGTCTGTCAGGTGAGGGGGCTGGGAGCCACCCCTTTAAGTGTCCTTCCAAATCTGATGACCAAGCTAGAACAGGCATGCATGTTCAAGAGAAACCTTAGGAGACTGATGGAGAGAGAAACAGCCCTGAGAGAAGGAAGAAAATTTGTTCTCACTTTCCTCCTTTGATCTTCTAAGTAACCACAATGGAGTATTTATTTTGTTAAAGAAAGACTTGGGGCTGACACCATGCTGCCTCTTTCGTATTCTGGCTTCTCTGAGTAGCAAGAGACAGATGCTGGGCTCTGTGCCTGTTGAGTCTGTTTCCTTGAGAAAGAGGGGGGGCAGGCAGCGGATTGGGCGCTGGGCTGCTGTTAGTGACACATTCTTTTCACAATGACTGTACCATGCAGAACTGCAGCTCCAAAGCAAAAGAAGAAAGGCAGGACCAACACAGAGGAAAAGGAAGGCAGAAGTGGACACTGGACACTTGATCGCTAACAAGGCCTGATATTTGATAGAAACCATTTGTGACTTTAGTAAGGCAGTAAAGCAAAATAGAATAGACCTCCTAATTTCTTTGGTCTTTTTCTTCTTCTGGCTTTTTTGTTTGTTTGTTTGTTTTGGCTTTTTGAGATAGGGTCTCCCAATGTAGCCGAGGCTGGTCTTAAATTCTTAATCTTCCTGCCTCAGCCTCCTGAGTACTGAGATTACAGGTGTGCTACAACTAACTTCTTCTTCTTTTTTAAAGCATATAAAAGGAACTGTACAAAATATTGGGTTTTATTGTGACATTTTCATGCATGGATATAACACATCTTAATCATTCACCCCTGATTTCTTTGTTTTTTTGTTTTCTTGCAGTGCTGGGAATCAAACCCAGGGCCTTGCACATGCTAGGCAAGTGCTCTACCACTGAGAAATAATATCTCAGCTCCCCCTTTGCCTCCCCCCTCCCTTTCCAAATACCAGATCCCTGGGCAACTGAGCCAGAAGCAGGCTGAGACAGGGAAGGCTTCATGGAGGAACACAACATGGAAAGTGAGGCCTGTTCTAGGTGTCCACCTTGGATGGCACCTTATTCACCCCCCTCCCCACATACACAGTGGTCCCTGCCACCCTGGGCAGTATAAACATTATCTTTCATCTTGGTCTTAACTTGAAAAGTAAATTAAGAAGCTACAAACCCAACAGAGGTTTGTAGCCACTGAACAAATCTCCTTTGTCAGATGCCCACAGCTGAGGATGGAACGAACAATGAGGAATTCACATCTGGCAAGAAGCAAAATATGAAAGCCTGATTGCCGACTTCCTACTGGACGAGGTTATTTCCCTCAACAGAGAGCCTTAGGTCACCAGAGGAGCCTTTGCATTTGGGATCTTACCCCTCTGCCTAGCATAGCCTAGCCTGCTGACCTGGACCAGGATCTGAACTTCTCTGCAGCCGGTGTTGCCTTTAATCCACTGAATCCACTGCCCACAGACTGAGGACTGAGAGAGACTGGGTGTTGCTGATTGGGCCCTAGCTTTTGGAGAGATCGGTGATTATTCAGAGCAGCCAGGACTCTGATCTTCCTGTCCCTGTGGCAGGGGCCAGAACTCCTGCAGGACACCTGAGGTGTCAGCTTGCTTTCCTTGCCCTGCTGCCACTGGAATGCTGTGCTCCAGGGCAGTGATTGTCAGCATTCGCCTGCAGGCTCCCTCAGCCCTTCCTGTTATGGGACTGTCGAAATGAGTGCAAGTGTTACCAGAGTAGAAGAGGCAGCCCTGGGCTGAAACCAGAACAGCCAAAATAACTAAATGAAACCTCCAAGGGACCCGCTGACCTAGAAATTGCTTGTTCCTGTGCTCCCCTTAGATTGAGAAGAAGGGCTTGAAGCTGATAAAATACTTGGCCTTTACTTGTCTCCCACAGGTGTTTAAAGTAAAATTCTGAGACCCCCCCACCCCCACCCCAGAATGCCCATTCTCTGTGGGGATCCCCAAAGGGTTGCACCCACTGTGTGGACTGGATATTTACACGGAGGAGGCGTGGCGTTCACAAGCAATTTCCCTGTGCAGTGAGAAATCCTCCCCAGGCCATGTTTTCGAATTAAAAGTACTTTTATGGCTCTCTTGACAGTCGTCACTTCTGGATTTTTCCTCTTCTGTGTTTGGTCTTCTCCCTCAGGTGCTCTCGCCGACCCACATCCCCAGGAAGGGAGCTAAGCACAGCCAAGAAAGGACCAGAGAGGAGGGCAGGAGTCAAGTCTGCTTGGCTGACTTAGCTGACCATCTAGCCTTTGTTCTAGACACTGGTTCAGGTTCTTTCTCCAAAACTCTAACACTGTGTGATTATGTTGCTTGCACTGTGGAGTTCTAACTCAGTTAATTTACAGAAAGCCTCTTTGATCTAGAAGTTTCTCTGAACTACCTCCTAACCCTTTCTATCCTTTTCCATCTCTCTCTCTTTCTCTTTTTTTTTTTTCCTTTCTTCTTTTTTTTTTGGCAGTACTGGGGATTGAACCCAGGGCCTTGCACACACTAGACAAACACTTTACCACTGAGCTACATCCCCAGCCTCTTTGTTTGTATTTTTTCCCCTCTTTGGTGGGATTGAGGGTTGAACTCAGGGCCTCACACTTGCTAAGCAGGCGCTCTACCACCTGAGCCATGCCACCAGCTCTATTCTTCATTTTTGAGGCAGGGTCTGTCTCCCTAAGTTACCAAGGCTGGCCTCAATCCTCCTGCTTTCACCTCCTAGGATTCTGTACCACCATTCAACACCATGCCCATCTGATCACTTTTTTTTTTTTTGGCAGTCCCCTGAGGTTTGAACTCAGAGCCTTGTGGTTGTTAGGCAGGCATCTACCACTTGAACCAAACCCTCATCTCCTTTTTGCTGTTTTTTTTTTTGTGGGGGGGAGGTCATACTGGGGCTTAAGCTCAGGGCCTTCACCTTAAGCCACTCCACCAGCCCTATTTTTTTGTGAAGAGTTTTTCAAGATAGGGTTTCACGAACTATTTGCCTGGGCTGTCTTCAAACCACAATCCTCCTGATCTCTGCCTCCTGAGTAGCTAGGATTACAAACGTGAGCCACTGATGCTGGCTCTTTCTGCTTCTTGAGTAGCTGGGATGTAAGATGCACATCTCCTCCTCCCCCAAGCTATTGATTGAGATGGGATCTCCACAACTTTTTTGCTGGAATTACAAGTATAAGCCACCATGTCCAGTCATTTTATTTTATAAAAACAAGTTTTTTGTGGTACTGGGGCTTGAACTCAGGGCTTCATGCTTGCTAGGCAGCAGCTCTACTGCTTGAGCCATGTGTCTAACCCTGATCACTTCTTTTTTTTAATTTTTTTTTTTTGAGCCCAGGTCTTTCTATGTAACCTAGGCTGGCCTCAAACTCACCACCCTCAGCCTGCCTCAGCCTGCTAAGTGCTGGGATTATAGGCACACACCATACCAGGCTTAAAATAAGTTTTTTTTTTTTTTTTTTTTTTTGGGTACTGGAGTTTGAACTTAAGACTTTGTGCTTTAATGGAATTTTGTGCAGCCATGAAGAAGAATAAAATATTATATTCGCTGGTAAATGGATGGAATGGGAGAACATCATTCTGAGTGAGGTTAGCCTGGCCCAAAAGACCAAAAATCATATGTTCTCCCTCATATGAGGACATTAGATCATTAGATCAAGGGCAAACACAACAAGGGGATTGAACTTTGATCACAAGATAAAAGCAAGAGCACACAAGAGAGATATGAGGATGGGTAAGACACCTAAAAAATTAGCTAGCATTTGTTACCCTCAATGCAGAGAAACTAAAGCAGATACCTTAAAAGCAACTTCTGGTTGCTTCTCCAATAGGAGAAGGGGACCAGGAACTAGAGAAAAGGTTAGATCAAAAAGAATTAACCTAGAAGGTAACACACGCACAGGAAATTAATGTGAGTCAACTCCCTGTATAGCTATCCTTATCTCAACCAGCAAAAGCCCTTGTTCCTTCCTATTATTGCTTATACTCTCTACAACAAAATTAGAGATAAGGGCAAAATAGTTTCTGCCGGGTATCGAGAGGGTGGGGGGGAGAGGGAGGGGGTGGGGGGGAGAGGGAGGGGAGGGGTGGGTGGTAAGGGAGGGGGTGGGGGGAGAGGAAGGGGCGGGGTGGGTGGTAAGGGAGGGGGTGGGGGAGGGGGGAGAAATGACCCGAGCATTGTATGCACATATGAATTAAAAAAAAAAAAAAAAGACTTTGTGCTTGCTAGGCAGGTGCTCTACCATTTGAGCCATACCTCTAGCCCTTTTTTGATTTAGTTGTTTTTAGATATGGTCTCCTTGGCTGGCCTCAAATGGAGATCCTCCTGATCTCTAAATAGCTAGGATTATAGGCAGGTACCACACTTACCTTAAAATGAATTTTAATTCAACCACTGCATTTTCACCATAGCCCTTTGGAGGCGGGGCTATTTTCAGACAAGGAAACTGAGATGAAGATTCTAAGGACTTAGACTAAAGTTATTGTTAGGGTCTTTTTTTTTTTTTTGGTGATGGTGGTACTGGGGTTTGAACTCAGGGCCTCATACTTGGTAGGCAAGCACTCTACCACTGAGCCACTCCACCAGCCTTTTTCTGTGTTGAGTATTTTTGAGATAAGGTCTCTCGAACTATTTGCCAGGGCTGTCTTCAAACCATGGTCCTCCTGATCTCTGTCTCCTGAGTAGCTAGGATTGTAAGTGTGAGCCACAGTGCCTGGCCTACTTAGGGTCTTGCTTTGTACAACTCAAAGGCCAGTGCTCTTTCTCTGCCTATTTCTTCAACTGTAAAATAAGTGTGCTAACGACATGTACTTCATACAGTCACTGTCAGGGCTGAAAGCTTCAATACGTGTAAAGTGTTTACAAGAGGGCCCAGAGAGATACGTACACACTCTGGCCATGATGTGATGTAATAAAGGAGGCCCTCACAAGAACCTATACATATTGTTGGGACTTCCAGGCTCCAAAACTGTAAGCTAAATAAACATCTTCTCCTCCCCACAAACAAACAAAAACATGCCTGGCACAGAGAGAGTGTTCAATAAACATTTGCTAACATTGTCTGTGCTGTGCGTTTCTGTACTCTTCCAAGCATTGGCCTATGACTTCTTCCTGGGAGGAGAAACCAACTTCTAGGCTTAGAAGGCATGGAAGATGGGGATGAACCCATTTTGCAGGCTCTGAGAAACCTGTGGTGGGAGTGGAACAGATACCTTGTAAACAACAGGACTCTCAAAAACAGATAAACCCATAAAGGGGAGAGATGAGCCCTTTACAAAATGTCCAGGACAGGAAGAACAAAGGCTTCTGAACACAGCCCAAGATGATAAGGCAACAGTTTGCTCTGTGACATGCTGAAGGCCTTCTATTTTGAGGCAGATCTAGGTTATTCATGCCTTGTACTTGACCTTCACCAAACAAGTACAAAGTAGGACCTGTGTGTGGAGAAAGGAGTGTGGAGGACTCTAGTTCCCCCAAGCCCCCAAAGGTATGTCTGGAAGTCTTCTAGTGGCTACAGGGAGAGCTCTGAACTCTGCCAAGGAGCCCTAAGCCTGTGTAGGGCAGGGACTTGCCCTGTAACCCTGTCAATATAAATGACTTGCTAGGCAACTGTGCTACCACTTGAACCACACTCCCAGCTGGTACAGGAATGGGTGAAAGCGATTGTAAGCAATTTTAGCACCAGGTCGGTTGGCTACTGCTGAAAAGAGGTCAAATGAAATGCCAAATATAATCCAGAAAGAGCTACATCTACGAAACAGCTTTACAAACCCTAATCAAGGAAGTAGTCATTGCAAATTGTACTCCGCATGTTGTTGAAAGTTGTTGAGGTCATGTTCTAGCAGTTGGAATTTTTGCTGATGAGTCTGCCCTCTCAGAAAAAAACACCAGACCCACAAATAAAATAAAAGGTTGAAAACACCAATGTCTATAATTAAGATTTGCAATGACGTCTTCTGCCTGCCCAAGCTTTCCATGGTTGTGTGTTTCTTAGAACAGGGGCTGGCTGTGCAGGACCAGGCTGGCCTCCATCTTGCCATCCTCCTGCCTCAGCCTCCCAACTGCAGGACTTAAAAGGTGTGCACCACCAGGCCTAGCTTGCTGAGTTTTTATCAAGGGAGTCCCCAGGACGGCCCTATCCGATTTCCTTTCCTCTGCAAAGACTCTTCACCAGCCGACCGACCACACGCAGGCCTTTCCAAACTTTCCAGGGTACAAGCAACCGGTTGACGTCTGGATTTGGAGTTGATGCTCTCCAAACTAAACCCTGAGCTGTCCAGGGGTGGGGCATAGAAAGATGTATAGAGTTCAGAGCAGCTTGAAAAGCCCTACAGAAAACCGATGGTCACATCTTCCCAACCAGCCACCAGCATTAACTACTGAGTCTTGCTGCCCTGTGGGAGATGCGCTTGGCAGCGCACGTGGGCTTCAGGTGCTGGACGGCTGGGGGGCAGGGGAGATGCTAACGAGCCGCTCGGGCTAGGGGCTGCAGGGGTCGATGGTTGACCTCAGTCGGGGCTCGGGAGGCTTTCCCAAGCAGAGAAGCCACCGGCACGCTTTGGGGCGCTGGAACAAAGACTCGCCCTCGCGGGCCGCGGCAGGAGGCGGATCCCTGCGCGGTAATCCGAGCCGGGACAAACAAGCCCACTGGAAGGGGCAAGGTTTCCTCCCCCCCATCCTCCACTCCCCCAGCCCGGGCCTCCCTATGGGGTCGATGCTGCTCCCGGCGGCCCCGTCCCACCCGGGCTAGGAGGTGGGCTCGCGAGCCTCCCAGCCGCATCCCCGCAGCCGGTCCGGACAGGGGGCCCCGCGCGAGGCACGCGCCGCGGCTCCTCGCCGCAGCTCGCTGGCCATTGGCTGGCTGGGCACGGGCCCTCCCGCCCCGCCCCGCTATTGGCTGAGAGCGCCGCGGGCCCCGCGCGCGAGCCGCCGCTGACATCACGCGGCCTGAGGCGGCGGCCGCGGCGGCGCCCCCGGCCCCAGCCCTGCATCCCCCCCTTTTGGGTAGAGGAGCCGCCGCGGTGCCGGGCGGAGGATGGTGCGCGGCGTGCCGGGGGCTCCCTGCCGCCAGAGCCGCAGTGCCGCAGCCGAGCTGGCCGCGGTGGGCAGCCGACCCCCGCACCGGGCGTGGGGCAGGCGGCCGCGGTGAGGCGCGGAGGGCGGCACGGGCGCCAGGGCCGGCCGGCTGGCGCAGCAGCCGCAGCAGCCATGGGGGCCCTGACCAGCCGGCAGCATGCGGGCGTGGAGGAGGTGGACATCCCGTCTAATTCCGTGTACCGCTATCCGCCCAAGTCCGGTGAGGGCCGGGTGGACGCCGCGGGCCGGGAGGAGGTGGGGACGGACTGACTGCGCTGTGGATGCTCCGGGGCGGGCATTGCGGGCCTGCGACGCGGTGGCCGAGGCGGCTCCAAAATGGTCTTCGAATCGGGGCTGGGGGTGGGGTGGGGTTGTCGAGGAAGCCGAGGTCCCCGCTCGCTGCCCCAGGCCAGCCAGTGGAGGAGGCAGCTTTAGGGGACTGCAGGGTCACCCAGGTCACCGTTCTCGGAGGACACGAGCAGCCTCCGTGGTAATCTGCCTGCGACAGGGACGTGCGCCGGCGGGGATGCTGCGTTGCAAGGCGATCGGTGCCGGGCACGGGTCGGCCACTGCAGGGTCTGCGGCTTCGGCACCTGTGCCAGCTGTTGTCCCTGCGCTGTTTGGTCCAGGTTCCCCGAGAAGGTTAGAACCAGGTTCCTCGCGGAAAAGCCCCACTGCCTGCTTGCTGGAGGAGGGGCCGAAATTGCATTTTGCAGTGCTGGTCCTTTTCCAGAGGCTGTCAGAAAGAAAAGTGTGCCGACAAAGATGTTTGAGAATCTGAGTATCAGAGTCACTTGGATTGTCACTTTGCCACAGGAGCAGCCAGGTCTGGCGTTAGGCGTGGGGACAGAAGTGTTCAAAATGCATAAAAGTGTGCTTGTTTTTAGATGCATACCTTCACTTAGAAAGGTAAGTGGTCCAGCTTCTGGTTCGTGGCATCAGCAGTGGAGGTTTTTGCCCGAGGATTTTGACAGCAGAGGAGTGAGAATCGTTCAGTGAGTGAGCTCCAGCCCATCGGAACTGCTGGCGCCTGAGCCAGCGATCTGTCTGCTCTTGATTTTTTTTCCTTGCTGTACTCAAGACTTCTGGGGACCCGTGTCTGTCACCTTCTCTCTGGTTTAGGACCTGATGGGAATTTTGGTGAGGTGTTAGAATTGGAGCGGATCCCATTCTCTTTCGGTAGAATAAAGACATGCTAATGAGTCGAGCTGGTTTCTCAGCAGGGGGTCCAGTTTCTGCCAGGTGAAAGCTGGGAGGAGACAATGAACCTGCCTTTCTGCAGAGTGTCTGCCAGAGCTGTTTCTCACTGCTCTTGGACCAGAGACTGAATCCTTGCAGAGATGAATATGACTAAATGCTATTTTAGAAAGGCCTGAGATAAAGCAGAGGGTCATTAGTATTTTAATAAGGCTCTTGCTAATTATGGACTGTATGGATATTTTTGTCTATTAAAAAAACAGAATGCTTGCCCTCTTTAGCACAGTGCTAAGAAGGCATGTGTGTGGTGTTACATGCCTGTAAATCCCAGTATCCAGGAGGCTGAGCCAAGAGGATGGAGAGTTCAAAACCTGCCTGGGCTGCATAGTGAGACCTTGTCTCACCCTCAAATAAAATAAAACAAAAAACCCAAACAGCCTCAACAACAACCAAAACCAAGAGGCATGTATTTTACTTTTAAAGACAGAACTGTGCAGCAGTATTTGTGACGTTTTTGCCCTTAACTCACTTGGCTTTTATTGATCCACTCTGGAGCTTGTTTTGCTGAGGTTGGAGTTTTTGACAGTTCACTTCCTCAGGAGAGTATGTACTGCTCCCTCACATATGGGAATTGGCCAAAGGTAAGTCTCTGGAAGGCTGTTTCCCAGAGATTTAAACAAGTTTGAATCTTGGACAATGATAATAAAAGGATAGTGAACCAACAAAAACTTTCTTTAATACACTCAGTACTTCCAGTTGAAAGTAATTCCCCCGATCTTTAAAAATTTTACTTAATTGTAACTCACTATTTATTTTATCTTATTATTTGAGACAGGATTTCACTATGCAGTCCATGCAGGACTTGAACTCTTGATTCTCCAGTTTCAAGTCTCCCAAATCCTGGGATTAAGAGTTGTGCACCACTATGTCTGACCATTTAAAAACAAAACTTTTTAAATGTAATCAATTCTGCCTGGCAAGCACAAAGCCTGAGTTCAAACCCAGTACTGTTCAAAAACTTCTGGCTCTCTGGGTGCTGGTGGCTCACGCCTATAATCCTAGCTACTCAGGAGACAGAGATCAGGAGATCTCCGTACACAGCCAGCCCAAGCACCCTGTCTCGAAAAAACCTATCACAAGAAAAGGGCTGGTGGAGTGGCTCAACAGTAAGAGGGCCTGGCTAGTAAGCATGAGGCCCTGAGTTCAAACCCCAGTGCTGCCCTCCCCCCCAAGAAAAAGTAATGAGTTTATTTTTTGGTACTGGAGATTGAACCCAGGGCCTTGTGCATACTAAATATCTGCTCTACCAAGAAGCCACACCTTCAGCTACCAACAACTCTTATGTTTGTTTTGTTTTTTAAGACAGGGTCTCACTATAGCTCAAGCTGCCTTGAACTCACCATGTAGCCCAGACTGGCCTCAAACTTGAAATCTTCCTGTCTCTGCATCCCTAGAGCAGGGATTACAGAAGTGCACCACCCTGCCTGGCCTCCCCAACAAAATTTTTTGGGGAGGGAGGCTTATAGTTGCCAATATATTTTTAATTGGAGTTGAGTTACATATGAGAGAAATCTTTTTTTTTTTGGTGGTACTAGGGTTTGAACTCAGGGCCTCATGCTTGCTAGGCAGGCACTCTACCATTTGAGCCACTTCACCAGCCCTAAGAGAAATCTTTACAGTAGACCAAATTATGTTGAGAGTAAAACAAAAACAGAAATCAGAACATTCACAACCCAGGCAGCACACCTTTTTTTTTTTTTTTGCTTTTGTTTTGTGCAGTACTAGGGATTGAACCTAGGACCTAGGCAAGCACTCTATCATTGTGCTATACCCCCAGCCTTTTTTTCCTTCCTTCTTTCTTTTTGTTTTTTTTCTGGCAGTACTGGAGGATTTGAACTGGGCCTGGCGCTTGCTAGGCAGGCACTGTACACTTGAGCCATACTCCAAGCCTTTTCTGCTTTAGTTTTGTTATTTTTGAGATAGGGTCTCACTTTATGCCCAGGCAGTCCTGGACTTTGATCCCTTTATTTATGCTTCCCACATAGCTGGAATGACAGGTGCCTGCCATCATGCCCACCTTTTTATTGGTTGTCATAGGGTCTCTTGAACTTTTTGTCTAGGCTGGCATTGAACCTCTATCCTCCTGATCTCAACTTCCCAAGTAGCTGGGATTACAGATAGGCTTAAGCCCTACTCCCCATACTGGGCCCGTAACTGGCCCCCCCTTTTATTTTTTTGCCAATGGTAGGGCTTGAACTTACGGCATTGTGCTAGGTAGGCAAGCACTCTACCACCACTTGAGCCATGCTCTGGACCCCTTTTTCATTTTTTTTTGAGACAGGGTCTTGAAGTTACCCAGGCTGGTCTTGGACTTGTGATTCACCTGCCTGGCTTCTAGTCAGTACACCTTCGTGTACATGAAAACTTTTGTGAGTCTGCATATCTATGTTCTAGACTAGAGAAATCACTTACTTTTCCTCTGCCTTTATTTATTTATTTTTTTTCTGGAGACAAGGTCTCCCTACAGAGGTCAGTCTGGCCTCTAACTTACTATGTGGTCCAGGCTGGCTTGAATTCACAATCCTTCTGCCACCCTTCCCAGACCTTCCTCTGCTTTTTATTTTTATTTATTTATTTATGTTTTAGTACTAGAAATTGAATTTAGGAAGCTGTACCACTTGAGCCACGATTCCAGTCATCTTCTGCTTTTTAAATTTATCTGACTCTTTATTGAATTACAATCTTTTGGACCCAACAGGATTCTTAAAGAGGATTTGGTCCATTCTAGGTGAGGTGGCTCATGTCTGTAATCCCAGCTATGTGGGAGGAATAAACAGGAAGATTTTGGTCCAAGGCCAGCCCAGGCCAAAACTTGACACCTTATCTGAAAAATAACCTAAAAAACAAAGAGGGCTGGGGTTGAGTGGTGGTGTGGCTCAAGTGATAGAGCTCCTGCTTTGCAATGTACACTGTGCAAGCATGAAGCCCTGAGTTCCAACCCCAGTCCCACCAAAAAAAAAAAAAAAAAAAAAAAAAAACCAAGGATGGGATATGGCTCAAGTGATAGAAAGCTTGCTTAGCAAGCACGAGGCCCTGAGTTCATGAAAAGGAGAATTGGGTCTAGGTCCACTCATCTCATCAAGAATGGAGACTCAAGCCCGGTGGGGGTGATGGATGCTTATAATACCAGCACTTGGGAGGTTGAGGTAGGAGGATTAAAAGTTCAAGGCCAGTCCCGGTTACATAGTGGAGACTTGTCTCAAAAAAGGGCCCCAGAGAAATAAACTGATATGGCCAAAGTAGGTCACCAGCAAGTTAGTGGTCTTTTGCTTCTTGCTTTCACAAAGAATCAAGTTTTGAGTTTGTCTAGGATAATTTGTGGAATGGAGGCTATTCTGTGTAAGAACTGAAATATAACTCAAAGGCCTATTCCTCTTGAGAAATCAGACTGGGTTGGGCACAAAGCAAATAGCAGAGTCACATTTTTCAAGGTGACTGATGGAACATACCTTGTGTCCTAGATGCTAAATGGAGACTACCCTCTGGTTCACTGGAAAGTCACCAGCTGGGAATGTGGCTTAAGTGGTAGCACAGTTACCTAGCAAGTGCAAGGCTCTGACTCCAAATCCCAACGTTACCAAAAAAAAAAAAAAAAGTCACCAGAAAACTGTATTGCTTGTAGACAGAAAACTGGCCATTCCTTCCTCTCTCCCTCCTTTCCTACCTTCCCTCCCTTCCCTTCCCTCCCTCCCTTTCCCTCCCCTCCCCTTCCCTCTCCTCCCCTTCCTTCCCTCCCCTTCTCCTTCCCTTCCTCCCTCTCTCCTTCCCTCCTCCTCCCTTCCTCCCTTCCTTTCCTTCCTTCCTCCATTTTTCATGGATATTGTGGGGTTTTCTTGGGGACTAGATCTCAGCATTTAGCCTAGGCTATCCTTGAACTTAAGAACTTATTACCTTGAGCTCCCAAGTAGTTAGAATTACAAATATGCAGCCATGCCTGGTTCTATTTTAATTATTCTTGCTAAT